AACATCCTCAATGCACATCAATAGAGTCTGGAACTCCAAAGTCTCACATAAGTGTTGAGTTGAGTTGCCATCTGGTGGCTGGGATGTGCAGCTCTGACATAGGGCTCACATCTCATTCTCATTCCCAGCAAACCGCTTATGCTCTGTACATCCAGATATTGCCATTTTGGAAGATTTCACTCCCATTGGGATAGAAATGCACATATTCCCCAAGAGAGAGTCCGGCCTGCCTGGTGACACAGGCCTTAGAATTCGATATCCACCTAAAGCTGCCCCTGCAGGCCTCCTGTGGAGTGAACATCACTGCAGCCATCTGCTTGCTGAGAAGGATGACTCATCTGTCTCTATGGCTATTCCTCACACCACGTCCAGAACTCCTTCTTTGGGTATGAGCCAGTATCTCCTTTATCCAAGAATTGGAAAATGACTAATTGACAATGCGCACAGGGAATTTCCACATTATTCAAAAGATTAATTGTAATGTAAATTTAATGTAATAACATTTCTTCATCTTGTTTGTATGGAAATGCAGGAATATTATGCTAGATATGACCAGTTGTTTTCTGGGGTAGCTCCTGCTTGGCATGTTGCCACTAGTAAAGGTGATTTGAAGATCAATAGACAACCAGTTTTTGGCTAATGAGACATCTCTTATTCGAGTGACAATTCTGCTGGACAGCGGGATTGCTGTATATGCGGGACGAGTAGAAAAAATACAGCAACAACGCCATGCAAACTATCCACGCTCTCTCCAGCGCGCTTTCAGTTAATGTAGGTCACTTCAGCATACTTATGGACAATGAGCACGTTTTTCCAAGTTTTTTTTCCACAACATGTGATGAACTGTGGGAAAATGTAATCACTTTACATGTCTTTTTTAGACCGTGGCACTTTGATTTTTTATATGCTGGAGGTTCATGTGGGACTCATTTAGCACAGGCTGATGTAATTTATAATTGTCTTCCTAGCGTCAGGGCCAGAGCCACACTAATTAAACTGTTGCATGCAGATGTGCAAAGAGCAGATTTGAACGACAGCGACTGCGTTTCCAGAAACTTCCATTTTTCATAATATCCGTGTGTCTTCTTTATGAATTAATGTCTTATATAGACAAATATGCACACATCTTGTCATCATTTTGGTTCACACCAATCCGTTATCATTTACAGTATGTCACATCCAATGATGGGATCCTGCGGATGGAATGAGCCTCTCTGAAAGAGTGCTGTAAATATAAATTTACTAAATCAATAAGCATTTGCCCCTCAAAATGTCCCTCTTTTAACAACATGTGAGGTTAATTCAATGCACCACTAAATGGCAGCCATCAAGCTGAAAGATACCTCAAGGTCCAACAGCAGCATAATGCTTTGGGAAATTGTTACCACATTAAAAAAAGGCTGGATGATATCTTCTTGTAGTCCAGGTAATTCCGTTCTGTGTGTGTGTATATATATATATATATATATATATATATATATATATAAAATTGCAATGTAATAAGGAACATAGACATCTGGGCAACAGTTAATGTTACCATATTCTGTGCTATTCCGCTATCTGAAAGTGAAACATCTGTCTTTTTTCAGTCAAATTCATTCCGCTCTCCGCTCTATCATTCTTTCCCTCAGGCCTTACGGACATTAAAAAAAAAAAAATATTATTCCCCTGAATGGAAACATTGATTGTTTTACTCTCTGAATGACACTTTAAGTCGATGCCATAAACGGCTAGGCTCGGGTCAGGTTTATATGGCAGATCTGAGCCTTACTGTTTCTGGTCTGTGCGGTGTCCTGGGCTGCAGGACAGCTTCCACATTCGATTCTAAATTCAAGTCAGGAACAAATTAGAAAGCAGGTATTACATTAAACAACTGTCAAGAGTTTCACCCATCATTTCCTTCACTGGTGGCCATTTCAATTCAAATCTTTGAACAACTCTCGCAGATTACTAGTCTGGGCCTCATAAAAAGACACAGTTAACTCTCTCCAATCCCTTGTTTCTCCATAAAACTAATTTAGTAATAAATAAATTGAGTTATTAACAATGAAAATGACAAAAGGATATTATATCAAATCTTTTTTAACAGGTAAAACTCCTTGATGCTATATCATTTGTGCTGTATTGCACATTGTTTAATTAAATTCTGTACTGTATGTATGTACATATACACTAAAGTTACATGACTGATCTTGTGGTCAGCATTTCTGTTTTCTTGACAGATGAGTAGTGGTGCTTCAAATATGCTTTATTTTTTATAACGCTTTATCCATGCTCTCTTGCAAATATGTGAAAATCAAGTTTTTTGTAATAATCATTAGCACTACAGACATGAGTCAAAAAGAAATGTCGAACTCTAGAGTCAAGCCACAAAACAAAATATACGAGACAGACAATGTGTGTCATCAAAGACTTGTGGTTGGATTCTTCCAACCGGATATCCATGGCTGCAATACCACTCCTAAATATGTTTCTTACATTTTATATTTATGATTCCCAGAGGACATCCAATATACTCACAAAGTCTTTTGGCAGGGTCACTGTAAGATACGGGGGTGGGACGAATGCTCTCCACACTGCCCACAGGCAAGCGTCGATTTGCCCCCCCCCCATTTATGTCTTCTTTATTCTTAATCAGATTCAGTTGTTTTCTCATGAAACGCATGCAGACGCCAAAGCCCGGCTCTGCACGCAGGTACAGCCAGTGGCGTAGTGCAAACTGCGTTGGCCCACCCGCAAGAGTGGAGGTGGGGCCCTTCACCGCATAATTAGATGGGGGATTCACCTTTTCATTCAAAATCGTGATTTAGTACTGTGGAATTTAATAGTATGTAATTATTTCGTATTTATTTATTAAGAACTTTTCACAAAAAAAGAATAAAAGAAACACCAACAATAAAACAGCAATTACATTAACTTGTTAAAATGCAAGGGAGCACATGACGTCAAAATATTTTTTCTATCTGCAGTATACAACAAACACAGCCGCGCCCGCGCCCGCGCCCGCGCCCACCGTAGAAGCAGTAATGTCCGTGATGACACTGCTAGCAAACGCCTGAGTAACGTTACCCGTGCTCGCTCCCGCAGCTCCTTCCCGCTGATTTGGAAGAAATATGGATGAAATTTTCGGTAGTTTTGCATTGAATTGCTCTTTTCGGTGTTGGTTAATCCGTTTTTGAGCTCCGCTGACATATTTTCTTTTACTCATTTTGCGCTCATAAGCTTCACTCTCTAAACAGTTGCAGAAATTCTTAATCGTGATTGGATAACAAGGACAACGGATATTCATAATCGCCAAACACGGTAGGCTGCAATTACTACCAAAATAAAAGTCCTATACGTTCACGTTATAAAAACGCTTTAATTATTTATTCGAGTCAATTTTTTGTTGGCCCCCCACAACGCGGGGCCCGTCCGCAGTGCGTGCCCTGCGGGCCCCCCCGCTACGCCACTGGGTACAGCCCCTACAGTCTTCTGTTTCCATTCCTCCACCCTGCTTATGTCAAACGCTCCTCTGCTGCTCTCCCCCAAGTAAAGTGTCTAATCCTTCATCACAGATCCTGTGCTGCATGGCCCTGTTCACTGCCTTGCCTGGAATAAGCGGCTTACCGAGCATTTTCCCAGTGGGCCAATGGGGTTGTGGCCCGGACAACCTGTCGTGGAACCCCTGCCCCTCCCTGATCAGTTTGTATGTGTGGTGGGCCTGTATGGGCTACAGTCCAAGGCCAACTTTTAATCCTAGTCAAGCCCTGGAAACATCCCATAATTCTTTTAAACTACAACTCACATTGGCCAGATTATTATATGATTCAGATCTGGTTTGGCGATAACAGACTGACATAATAATATTGAGAACCTTTCATAACTCAGACAGCAGTACAGTATATTACAGCCTGTCAGCAAGCTGGTGATGGATTCTCCTTCCTTCTGGTTGAGAGAAGAGACATCAGCAAGTTCTTTATATTTAGCTAGATCCAGTTTTAAGTAGCTGGCAAGACAAACGAGTCTGCGGCAGAATCGCCTGACCTTCACCCTTGAAAGTTCTCAGCCCTTCGGCCGTTTGTGTTTGGAGACATAAAGTAATGATCCTAAGTTCTGTGCTGAAGATATGACACATTCCATCTCAACACCTGCTGAGATATTGATCATTATTTCAAAGGTGTCTAAGAAATATAGTATGGTGACAAAGTATGTGTGATTGTTTGAGCATTTTTTTTTCATTAAGTTCTACTAGATCTTCAACTAAAACTGAATTTTACTTAAAAGAGATACTGTTACCTAAAAAATTGACAGAGATGCCACTGATTTTGTTAAAAGTGCTACCGGACTCCCAGTAGAATTATCAGAAGTAATCACCGCTTAGATTCAATTGGCTCCTGCCTGTCTAGCAAACACACACTTCCTCGGCATAGTGATCGGCTGCCTCATAATGCTGTGCAGCAATTCAGACCCACTCCTTGTTTCAGCCCTGGCAATAGGACTTTGATGGGGTCAGTCTGAACTTTAATTTCCTTATTCTTCAATCATTCTGTTAATGTTTACTGGTTAACTCTCAACCTTTTGCTACATAACCCTGATTTGGCTCAGCTTCATCTTACCTATGTTTGGAAATTGCTATTATTATATTATTATTTTAGTATTATTATTATTATTATTATTATTATTATTATTATTATTATTAAATGCTTGGTAAATCTGTGAAATTAAATGTAATTTTGTATTAAAAAAACTTTCATAAAATTAAAATTGATTTCATGTTCATAAATATTTTATTACTCCTTTTAAACCAGTTCAATTGCTTTATAAAATACACATTTTTATTAAGAGATAATATTGTTTGGTCAGATGAACTTACTGTTCATAATGTAATTGGTGATTATGAACAGTGGAAGATATGGCTTTACAGCAGTAGACATAGACAGGCTTTTATACCCAAGGTGTCAGAAAGATGGGGTGTGTTGCTTGGCAACCAGTAATAAAGAATGGTTCATGTCTATTACCTGACTCAAGATCAAACAAATTTCCTGGAATTTTCCTCCATGTGTGCTTTTCTTCTTCCCTGTTGAGCAATTAAACGAATGAATGTACAAATAAAACACAGATCATTTAATATGACAATTAGCACATACAGAAATCACAGTGTAAACTCTCATGGGAGAGCATTAAAACTCACATTTTTAATGCCACTGGCTACCTTTGCTAGGAAAAAAATCTGAATGACTAGATTAGCAAAGACCTACTTTAGGCCAAAAAATTCCATAAATTACACAATACATTCCCTAAGGATTGATTCACAGCACTCCATAATTTATAAAATGCTTTCAAGTAACATGATCAAAGTCGATGACTCTCATCACTGTCTCTTATCAGAGTTGCAGATATTGATTTCTCACATATTCTGACCGCTTATTAGAAAAGTATTTGACGTTTGGAGGGTATAACAACAGAACTTTATAAAAGCTTATAAAAGTTCTTTGACAGTTAACAACTTTCTTCACTTAATACACAAAATGTTAAGTTTTACCATAATCAGTTTGCAGATAGAGATAATATACCAGATTTATTTAAAAAAGTAACCACTTTGACTGCTTTTCTTTAGTATGAAAGATATCCCCATCACTTTTTCATCTGCCTGGCTTTGACAATTTACAGAACGGGCAAAAAACATCTGTACAGGTAGTTCTCACTTTCCGAGCTCCAGATTTATGAGTTTATATCTTTACAAGAATTTTCTCGGGCAAAAATAAAAGTTTCATTTTCATAATTTTTTTAAAAATTGCACATAAATCAATACGTGCTGCTTTAAAAAACTTTGGCCTGACAAAGCATCTGGATCAAAAATTGGCCTGACAAAGTTTTCAGATAACTTTGCATTGTGAAATATCTGACTGTTGAATGCCTACATGTAATTTGTCTGTGCATGCCACTTTTTCTTTTCATGACTCAGGTTCATTTTATATACTGTTTGTGAGTGATCTACACCAGCTCAGAATGGAATGCAAGAAGGAAAAAAAAACACCTACTGAAAATCAAAGTGACCAAAATGGACTGTGAATGTTACAATTTTACCAAAGAAAGGTATTTTGTTTTTTTTCCCAGGATTTTTTTTTTTGTTTAAATGTATGTACATTTTTGGTTAAATGTTAGTTCTGATGGTACGTTTGTGTTTCTTTTATTTACTTGGCAAAAATATAGGATAAAAACTATTTGGATGGAAACAAAGTCATAATTTTTATAACATTTCTATGGGAAAATTTGTCCCGCTTTACAAATTCTCGATTAATGAGCGATAATTTGAAACATTAGCTCGTAAAGTCAAGAACTACCTGTGTATAGATAATATTTACTGCATAATGTTTAACACGTGGACATACTGTATACAGTAGTGTGGAGTGTTGTACCCAGCAGCCACAGGAGAACATGCTCGCTGAGAACATAGAGATAGTAGGATAACACTAAATTAGAAAACATAACATAAGAATGGGCCTGTTTTGCGTATCAGATCAAATGGCCATTGATGCCTGTGTGCAAGTCACAAAGCACAGTGTTTCTGCATTACAACAACCTGTTTACCCACATAGACGGGGGCATGACACAGGAACACACACAAATTGTAGACACAGAATTGATCACTGCTCCACATTATACACCATATATCGTCCCAGTGCTAAAGGTTACTCATAATATTACGTACTTATTCGTTACATACACAGGTGTTATATTGACCTTTTACAAAAGGGGCCACTCTGGCTCAAAATAGGATGGGGATACTAGGGTAAAGTTGTTGGTATGCAGTAATAGTCTCAGGTAGTTAAACAGAACTCACCCAGAGGACGGGGGATCTTCGGCTCGCGGGAGGTGAATTGAAGACAAGGAACTCGCTTATCCACTTCGGTGGTATGTTTTAATAACGCTGCTGTTTCTGGAGGTTACAACCAGGCTAGTCTGCCGCTCACTTCGCTACGTTCTCTCCCCCCGAAAAAGCTCTGTGTAACTATAGCAAACTCATCATGTTCCCCTCATTACTTGCGAGGGTTTCCCCTATTAATTAAACTATACATATAAAAATTAAACATTGATTTCTGTGCTTACACTAGTTATAAATCAGAGTATAACCACAGCAAAAACCTTTAGAGATGACATATTAGGGAAGAAAACTGATGTGTTCACCAACGAGAAATGTGGCCTGTTTTCCATCAACATGGGTCAAACGGAATCTGCCGCCCCCCCACGTTGGAAGAAGTTTAGAGACAAACCATTGCTGGCAGGGTGTGAATCATGACTTTTTCCAGGAAAATCGTCTGTACATCTATCATCCAACTGCTTCTCCACTACAGGGCTGAGTTGGGGGTGGGGGGGGGCGTGCTGGGGGAGTGCTGGAGTCTATCCCAGGAAGCCCAGGACTCAAGATAGGGCAGGGGAAGCCCAGACAGAGTGCCTGTTAGCCTGAAATACAGACCTCAAATACAGACCTCAAATACAGATTGCAGAACTGCAAAATATACTGGACTCTGGAGCTACACGAAATCTGTTATTTCCACATTTGCAAAATTAAAGACCTTGCAAAATACTATCACAATTATGACCACTCACCCGTGCCTCAGTCTGTTATTCCTATTCCTTAATACCCCATTCTAATATATGATTTACAGATGATGTTTTACAGATAAATACAGAATCGGTATCTTATCCAAGCACAAATGATCCTGAAAATGTTTGGCAGCCTGGGATCCTCACTTGCACAGATTTGTCTGATCATCACACCTCGTCTCATGGGCATCAGTGAAGCCAAATGGCATCTACATTTCCAGAGGTTATGCCACAGTTCTGTGAAATGAGGACAAACAGCGCAGTGTGCTGCATTTGATTAATTCTCCTTTGTCTCGCCAAGGTTTCTGTTTATTGTGTTACATCCTCAGTGATTTAAATAAAGGGCCTTTATAAACTGCAAGACCTGAAAAAAAAAAACATTTAAAAACTACTTGAGATCATAAAGCTTTCATCGCTCTGTTTCACAAAGGACTTTATACAATTTGTCCAAACAGCATTCATGGTTGAAAGACAGGGAAATGTGCGTCTGCATATTTTTAGGAATTTATGATGCACCACTTTTATGAATAGTGCTGTGATAGTTGATGTTTCAACATGGCAAGACCCTTTGGTGCCATTCTGACCAGGGCGAAGTTTCATGTGGGATTACCACAGTCTGAAGCACAAGTCAAGGGCTTGTTCCTATTCCAATAGATACAATCAGTCAAAAGCCAGTTTTTGATCCGGATGCTTTAGCATTTAATTGAGGATTTAGAAATAATTAACTAAGAGAAAAAAATGTACATCTGTTTTGAATCAGCTATTGGTTGTTGAAGTTAAACTGTCGAAAGGGTGTCCGCCATCTTTACTGAGGCCTCGCCATCTTTACTGAGGCCTCGCCCTCTTTACCGAGGCCTCGCCCTCTTTACTAAGGCCTCGTCCTCTTGGCAGTGCACTGTAGGCTTACACCCGTGAGATGTCATTCATCCTGAGACAGCCAGAGTGCTTCCTCCATCCCTGCAGAAGATGCCAAAACACTTTACTCTTCCCTCTCAACGTCCCTTTGATGTCGTATGTGTGTTTCTTCTCCTCTTTCATTAATTAAATTGGCTGTGGGTTCCTTGCTGTTTGTTTTCATGGAGCGGTACGTCGCTCGAACACACCTGCTCACTTTTCATCGCTATGCCAACCACAAGGACATCTACCAATGCTTTTTTTTGCCGCCATTTACTTTGCATGCTTACTTTGTGTGGCCTGCATGATTTACTGGCTCAGCAGAACACTTTGCTCCAAGCAGCGTACAATTTTACGGCCTCACAAAGCTGAATTTTTAAGCAATTCAAAGATCCTGCGTTCGACGGCCTAAGTTCAGTTCCGCAGCAGCTGTCGTACCCACCTTTAGCTAGGGCTTGTGGGAAATACGATCAACCTGACAAGCAAGAAAACATCTGAAGCTATTTCTCCCCATCACCCTTTCAGCAGCAGTACCAGATGAAAGTAACCGTTGCCCTCTCTTGTTCCTCCGCCATAAGCTCTTTTGTTTAATTTCTAATGCCTCACATTAGTCTGACCCATCAAATATTAAAACCAGCAAACACAAACCCTAATTAGGTAAGCATGCATGGAGATCCAAAATAAGTCTATGAAGCAAAGGTTGCATACTAGACCCCAGCTCATTTGGCTGGAGATGGAGCGCTTCAATTGGTTGTGGTGATTCTGTGATGAACAAGAGCTGTGGCAATATGATTGGTTCATACACACACAGACACACACACACAGAGAGAGAGAGAGAGAGTAGATTCACCTCCAGCATCCAGTGCCCCTGGAGCAGGTCAGGCTTTAGGGGTTTAATCTAGGACATACTGTAGGGTTGACATTATTGCACTGACACCATTGGTACAGATTCTTACTCCGCGAAGCTAATGCATGTAGTTCACAAATCCGATAAATGTCACAAGTTTCTGGTCTCCACATTGGCGCTGGGCAACCCAAGGCATCTAGATAGAAGGCATGTTTCCTCTTGTTAAGTAGCCTTAGGGTTAAAATGCTTATGAATGATGTAATTAAATTTACATTCTATCACATTGTTACTCCAGCACACTTTAATTGTTTTCATATGTAATGAAAGAGTGACAAAGACATATGATACCATTTATTATAAAGATGGGAACCTAATGATAACACTGTATGGTCAAAAGTATACGTGCACTTCCCTAATTATAGCGAACTGACTAATTAATCTTTATCAGTTGCTGACACACGTGTATGGTTAAACACACAGTCATGCCATTTCTACCAGCGAACACTGGCAGTGAAATGAAGAGCTCAGTGGCTCTCGATGTCGTGCCAACACTGGGTGCCACCTGTCTAGCAAGTAATGAGGCATACGACTGCCGTACTATGAACTGGCAGTTTAGCATTGTAAAGTATGCAAGCTGTACTGGTTACATACCCAAACCCTAACTGCTCTGACATGGTCCTTCTTACTAACAGGGCCAAAAGTGTGACCAAATCGAGCTGGTAGCATCACCAACATCTGATTGGTCGAAAAAGTGTATATTTGATACTTGCATAACACAGCAATTGTCACAGATGTGCTAGCATAAATTAGCACAGAGAAAAAAATTATAATAATTGCAGTCATAATTGTAAATCATCCAAACCCAAGAATGCCTCCGTCGAGCCGACTCTGCTGCAGTGGAAATCCAAAGCAAGCTGGAACCATGGCGGAACTGGTTTCTCTTTGCGGTATGGCTCGGGTATGGGTCGGTTCCTGTACACCACTGGAAAAATGTCATTAGTTCATCAACATTCCGCCCTGCTAGAGGCCCCCCTGGTCAACTGTTAGTGAAGTGACTGTGAAGCAGAATTGTCTCGGAATGGTACAGGTATGTATCTCATTAGGTTGGAGAACTGACTCATAGACTTTGGCTTTGACCTTGACCACAGTTTACACCCTGCTTTCAGTAAGCAAGCCCACTTTTTTTTCATTCGTGTTAACATGCCCGGAGGGGTTGGGTAGCCGTTTGACCTTGGATCCCCAAAGGTTTTCTTTTGGTTCCTCTCCTCTGTTGTCATCTGGTATTCTTTCATTTCTTTGTCTTTCCTTTTCCTCATTATCTGAATTATTCTGTATGAATGATGCAGGAATATATACTGTATTACAACGCATACATGTAAAGCAACTTTGAGTGACTCTTAGGAAAAGTGCTATATAAAAAATAAATGGAATGTAGACTATCTACATTCATAGTATCTGAGTGGAGGGCATTTAACACCACCTGCTCTTGGGGGTGGATGCTGGCAGACCCTGCTTTCCTCACTGTGCTTTTCATGAAAGTGTTTGTTCTTGAATTGCTTACCCAGACTCACAGAAAGGGACTGCTCAGCCCTGGATGTGTATTGTGTAAAAATCGTGCAAACTGTTTCTGGGAGCAGCGTCAGCTTAAGAGCTGTTTATCAGGACCTTAGCAAGCCTAAGATCAGCATGTGCAATGCCAATTGTTGGCTGGAGCGACATAAAGCCTGCTGCCATTGGACTCCAGAGCGTTCTCTGTAAATGTGTAAATGCGTGCTCTGGAGTGATAAATTATGCTGCACCATCTGATGGATAGTACTGGGGTTTGGCAGATCCCAGGAAATCGCTACCTGCCTGAATGTGTCATGCCAACCTTATACTTTGATGGTGGATGGAAAACGATTTTTCACTACGTCTTTACTACATGAAATGCTAGCAGAATTAGCATTTGCTTGAGTAAATTTGCATTATGAATATGAGGTTGAAAACTTTTAATTCTGAGTTACCTGGAATGCATATATTGCGAGGTGTGACACTACGAAAAATGACTAATATATAAAATGCCGAGATGGGTTAGCCCTCCATCCTAGGTTGTTCCCAGCCTTGCACCCATAGCCTTTGGGACAGGCTTTGGACCTCCCGCAACCCTGAACAAGAAAATGGATGGATTGATTTATAAAATATGCCTTTCTCCTTCAGATAATCCATGCATATTGACACAGGCCGCCGGTATCTCTATCCATTTTGACCAGTTAGAGGATGGTGACAAAACCAGCTGGATTTAGTCACGGTTTCAGTCCTGCTAGTAAGCAGGGCCATGTCAACGTGGTTACGGCTTGGATAATTTACAATGGAAAACCGTCAGTTAGGGGTACGGCCCAGGTGCGACTTGGTTCTTGGCAGCAGTGGAAAAGCGCCATAACTGTGGGCTGTACAGAAATCAAACTTTCTGTGATGGGGGTGGAATAACCTGACTGACCTGCCAAATCAACCCCTGACCTCAAGCCAAATCAACCCCTGTGATGCCTTCACAACATAATATCAATGCACAGCTAAATTAGTCTGGGCAACAGGTACACATTAGGGTGAACTAGAACACAAGTGCTGTTGGGGCTAAATACCAGCAAAGCTAATGGAAAGCTTCTCAGAACAGTAGAGGCTGCTGTAGCAGCAACTTATGGACGGATCCTTTTGGCCATATTATTGGATACATTTATGTTGAACTCCAAAGAATTCTACAAAGGACTTGAAATTTGAAAGTTAGCTTTAGATTAAGAACAATATGGCAGCTATGTGGCCATTGCCTTTTGGTTGCGTTGAATGT